AGAATTTAAATTTTTGAAATCTGATTGTATTTTTGGATTTGGGAGGTCCATTTGCTCCCTATAGAAGCTAATATTGCTGCATATTCCCATTGAGGTGACAAGAATTAGCAAAATAGTGGTTCGGGCGCTTTTCAAAAATAATACCGGACGCTGTTCCTCTTGTGACGTCATAGCTCCGTGACCTGACCTGACCCGGTCAAGTTTCTTATACCATATGATAGCCAATACTTGCCCCAACATGCATGGGAAGTTTCATCACGATCCATCAACCGATGTCCGTACCACCGGCAGGAAACCTCGGGCGTTGGCACTCAGTTTGTGAAAATCCGGCCGGAGTCTGTTCCCTTTGTGACGTCATAACTCCGTGACCTGACATGACCCGGTCAATTTTTTTTATCAAAAGATGCGCAAGGTTTGCCCCATAAGGTACCCAAAATTTGGCGGCGCTGCGCGCCGCCGTTTTTACACCATTTCCGAAAAACCTCAGGGGGGGGGGGGGGTTGCACCAACCCCCCCTACATGGGCGAGGGTTAATCTGGCAGAAAATTGAAAGCGTCTGTTTTGAACGAACGCTATTCTAGACAAGCTCAAACATCGAGATGTTGGTAAAATTGACACACTGAACCGTAAAATGGCAACTGTGACCCCTCGTTATGTCCCCGAGGTCATCTCAGGTCACGAACGGAATCTAAAAGTCTAGAGCGCTGAAAACGCCTTAGAAGTGTTCGGCTCGACGTTGCAGATCGACTAATATGCAACATGACGTTTTCCGGTCAGGTCATGACCTTGATCTGAGGTCAAATTTTCAAGTTGACCTTTCAAGGTCAAATTACAGTACATTCGACGCGTCTCGACGAGAGGAACACGATGCTGGCAAAAGTAATATCATGGCTCTTTTGAGTCAAAAGTAATTGCCGAAAAAACGTATTTCGTAAAAACGGCTATTTTTGAAGTTTTTGCCCTCTGGAGGCTAAACCGTTGACCTGAGGTCAAATCTGAGAGCATTATTCAGAAAGGTCTGTAAAAGGGCTATCGAATGCGCTTTTCCGCAGCGCTGTAGCTCTATCGGTTCCCGAGATAGCCGTTGGCAGTTTCCAAAATGTTGAAATAGTCAACATTTTACCTTTGGTGACCTCTGGTGACCTGACCTTTGACCTGACCCGAAAAATGACCGAGTGTTTTCGTCCTTATTTTGGACGTTCTTTCGATTGTCGCTTACCGCGCGTAGCTACGTGGCCCATGAGCCGAGTTAGAAGGGGTGGGGGGTGTTCAGACACCCCCGGCCCGGCGCGGAATCTCAGAGCACCGGCCCGGCGCGGGTTAAGGAAATTTATTAGGTTCGTTTCAGTTGTATGCTATGCAAGGCCCGAAGTAGTAAGCACATTTATCAAATCTTTTAAGTTACTTTTACTTTAAGCTCAACTCGGATTTCCTTTGCGCATGCCCGATGCTTTCACTTTTGCTGCATGCCTGTTAGCGTCTAATCTGCTTCGAATGCATTACGTTTCGAATAAAAGCCGGCGCAAGTTGAACAGTACGTAGGTACTCATTATCGACTCTAAATAGCTATTTTTTTCCTGGGTGCACGTGCAATACGAAATAAGTTGTGAATATCGGAACACCTTACTTGAATAATTGAATATGCTTTGGACGATTTGGAGTTATTTCTATCCGGCTATCACCTATATCTACCTATACATATTTGTGCCGTAGGTACCAGTGGTCGTACCTATCTATGTTACAGCCAACACGGGGGACATATCAGATGCAGCGTGTCAGCACCAGATAGATGGAGCATTCCATCATCCCAGCACTACCGAGCCTCACGAAAAAACGGCAGGTGGTATTTGAATGCTGATTAAACATTGTTTTCCAAGTCGCTCCGGTCATTCTTAGCCAGTTTGGCTGCATGTTCATCAAAAGGGAGGCTTCCGGTAGATATTTCTCGACAGGTATCAAACATTGTAACAAACTTGAAAGAATCGAGTAAGACATGTTACCTTCACGATATAAGGCACCCTAGATCCGAATGCATGCCGGGGCCCAGGACAATACAAAACGCTTACATTTCGAAATGGAGGCCAATGCGTTTCCATGTCGAGTTCTCGCCCCCCCCCCCCCATTTGTTGCCACTTGAACCAGAGAGCTGATTAAAAATGTTTTGCATCTCGACAAATAAATAGTGTAGCACCGCACACATGTCTTTTTTGGGCATGTAAACTTAAGAACAAACGGTCAACACGAAGGTAGGCACTGAAGTATTTATAGGTCAACATTGCAAATACAATAAACTCGGGGAACTTGAACTCTGAGTGATGGCTGGGACGTTCAGACGTGTTTTGATAGTAAATAAAGAGCTTGCAAGTCCTTAGTAACAACTGATGATAGACGACAGCTCTCGACCTACCTAAACACAATTCAGATGATGATGATTTTCCGGCACTGTAACCATAACGAGTAACAAATGACGTTCCAGTTCTTATTTTTACGACTATCGGTTTTAAATCCAGAAGTGAATAGGCATAACAGAGAAACCCAAAAGCTTTCTCCTTTGTTAGCGTAAACTGCCATAGCGTATTCATATGATCTATTTTATAAGCATGCTCTATTTATATTAATCCCCCAACACGTTTCTTATTCACTGTATTGCTCGTTTCCACCCTTCTAGTCACCTTTGTGTCACCGTGAGGCGAATGGTAGGAGTAATCGCTAAGCACAAACGTAAAAAACGTATTCTTGTAACAGGACAAGAAACGCTGCGCATCGTACCTTGTAGCCACCTCACTGAAACACAAATAACACCTGTCGATGGCAGATTGACTCCCATCACTTACTCACCCCTCTCCTCTGGCCATGGTGCTCCCGTCTGCTGCCGGTTCAGTAAGACACTCAGTTCCCCGGCACCTGCTCGACCGCCGCTCGCCTCGCTCGAACACCACCACCCCTCGCGGACCACTGCCGAAGCTGCCGCGCTCCGTGAGCCACCCGGGCCGCCGCCGCGCGGCGGCAGGGGCCTGAGGGCACGAGCCAAGGCCCGGGCCGGCCCGGCCGGTCGGCCGGCCGTCACCGCACCGTGTTTTCACTGCCAGTCAAAAGTGCCGCCGGCTCCTCGCGAGGCGCTGTCAGACAGGTGCTGCCAACTGCAGGGCTGGGATAGAGAACGGTGTGTGATAAAGCTCCGGGCTTTACAGAGTATGCGTATAGTTCGGTTTTTGTTTAAAGACAAAAACTATCTCCGAAAATCGATCGATCGTTCGGATGAATCTAAATAAAATGTTTCTTTTTGTTGAGATTCGTAAAACACTTCGCCGCAGTTTCGGTACGATGCGGTTTGACAATATTTAAGTTTGTGACCTTGATTGGATTGACCTGAGCCCACCGGCATTATATATGTACCTATATTTGCATTTTTTTCATCGCCTTTAGGCCACTTAATTTTTCGCAAGAAATTATTGATCTAACTATAACGTGTGTAATACTTACTTCTCAAAATTCTAACTTCGAACTGTTCTGCCTCTTGACGTTTTTACGCCCCGACTTTTTACGTCCTGACCCTTCTGTTCACTGCTGCACTTATAAGTTATAAGTTATAACCATCAGTCATTTCCTAGACGGTCCCGTGATGTATCTCTTCCGCTCGGCGTGCATGTGATAAAAAAAAAAAATCAGTCTCAGCCCCCAGGTGATGCATAAATGTCAAATCAACAGGATACGACGAGTGGTGCTACATCGCTGAAAAACTTAATGCTTTACTCATTACAGATATGTATTTCCTATTCTACTAGCACTGATACATATCTGTCTGTCTGTATATCTGTGTGTGATATATCTGTATATCTGTGTCTGCATATCTGTGTATATCTGTGTCTGTATATCTGTGTGTGATATCTGTCTATCTGTAAAACATGCTCTCCAAAATTCCCACAACTGTATTGCACTACAAACACCCACAAAAGTACAAAATACAATTACACCACAACAGACACATCAAGGCCGTAAAGGTGCACGAAGCCTAGATAAAATATAGACGATGTTATAACAGATAACAGATGAATGATTACATCGAACCTGAGTCTAGCACACGCTATTGCACTAATTGTTAGACCTACCTTGGTATTGACACTCTGGCTGAATGTAACAGACCGACCGACGTAAAAACTTTTGCGTTTGAGTTGAGACAAATCCTCGGTGTTACCCTCAATTAGAGTGTAAACCTATTTCGTCACCTTTACATTCAGTTAAACTGTTTGGCATCAATGAAACTGCTTTTAACCCCCTAAAAGACTCGGCTGGCCGATATCCATCTAGTCAGCTAAACGCCTGTCGCCGCAAAACGGCCACAATTGGCAATTCTCCCATATCGTACGAGCAGGTTCACTCGTCGGATTCACTGCAGCCTTATAGCCAGTTCCATCTAGGCTGCTGAACATTGCACCTGTTCAAGTTTCATTATAACATCGACGGCAATATCATAAGCCTATCACCAGTGATGCAACAGGACCTCCTGCTGAGCTGCATCTCTCCTTGTCCTCACCATTTGCCCCGTCACTGGACCTAACGTTCGACCCGTCTCCTGGCGTTACGTTCCGCCCGCAACGATGGCAAATTAGACAGTGTCGCAACGCCCGGCCATCTGCCCTCCGTGACGTCATACTGCTGAGTCTGTGTCGGAGCGAACCTGGCGGACTGTTCTCGTCATTCTGCACTGAGCTGAACGTGGCAATGTCAACAGGTAGAACGGCGACTCAGCAGACGGAACACCCGACGACAAGACGTCACTCAAATCCTGTCTTTTTCCACAGTCCATCACAGCTCAGTGCTCTTCAACCTGTTACACCACCTTGAATGTCTCTCAGAGTCTATGACCTCATATTCGGTGAGCAATGTTGTGTTGACCCTACGGAACACTTTTGACAGTTTTGCGGCATGTCGCAAGTCACAACACCGTATCACGGTCTTTGTTGGCTGGTGGCGTCACCTAGAAAAATCTGCCTCAGATGCTAGCGACACCTGTGGCGACTTTCGTCATTCAGTGCCTCTGAGCTCCGGCGACGGTGTGGCCGTGGAGGATCTCGTTGAGCGCGTACAGGCTGGGTGACTCGGCGCAGTTGACCGAGTACCACCAGTCGCAGATGAAGTACTTCTGGTTGAAGATGGTGCCCGGGGGACAGAGCATCGAGTCCTGGCGACCGTCCGGATGACAGATGTGGAACACCTGACGAAGAGAACCCTCGTCAACACAAGCTGATAGATAAATCTCACGGCCCGTAGTCCGCAGAATATTGGCAAAATAACTAACTATTGAATCATTACTTCAATATTATATCGACAGCGATTTAGTTTGCTTTCCAGATCCAAAACGGTACCCAGGAGCGAGGCTTGGGTTGTAGACTAGAATGTGACGTAAGCTCTTTTCACATACCACGCAGCTGTTAGTGAAATCAAACCTAGCCATTAATCAGCATGGACATAGCTGGGGAGGCGATATCTAATAGAAGAAGGAATCGATTCTGTTGGGCTTGTGTAGAATGGTTTGTAATTCTAGGTAGCATCATGCAAGTTCAGCAATTAGTCGTCTCCGGCCTTAACCCGCGCCCCACTGGGGGGGGGGGGGGCTATTTATAGCCCCCCTCCCGTTTTTCTGCAATAACTTTTAAACCGCTTGACGTATCGACGCCAAACTTTCAGTACCTTAGGCTGCATCAATTTGACACCTTGTGTCGAAATTTGAAGTTCGTACCTACTATAGGTCGGCCGGAAATGACGTCAGAGTGACGTCATGTTCGGCCGATTTCGACGCAAAACATTGAACCACGGCAATCGCTCCCAAGAGCTCAGTTTTTAAGCTAGATCCAATTTCTTTGCATGAGAGGACTCAGAATAGACTGCGCTATCAAACTGCTATCACGGATTTTCGAAATTTTGAAAATTTTGAAAATTTTATATAATAATATCCAAAATTTATATTTTTACATTTTTGCAAGTAAATGGCGAAGTACTTGTATGAACAGCATTATGACATATATATGTTTTCAAATATAACCTTATGTTCAATGATTGCGAAATGCAAAAGGTTCCAAAATTAATTACAAAATGAATATATTTCGGACACTGTCCTTCTTCAGTTCAGAATTGCAAATTAAATCATTTAGTCACAACAGCGCCAGAATATGTCGATACCAGCTAAGTTAGGAAGTCTCACATTGGTAAATTCTCGCGCAAAATAGACAACCATCTTACAGTTGAAATGTTCACAAGGTACCTCTTTGACTTACAGTTGAACATTTCAACTGTAAGATGGTTGTCTATTTTGCGCGAGAATTTACCAATGTGAGACTTCCTAACTTAGCTGGTATCGACATATTCTGGCGCTGTTGTGACTAAATGATTTAATTTGCAATTCTGAACTGAAGAAGGACAGTGTCCGAAATATATTCATTTTGTAATTAATTTTGGAACCTTTTGCATTTCGCAATCATTGAACATAAGGTTATATTTGAAAACATATATATTTTTACATTTTTTTCAAAAAGTTTTTGACTTTTCGAAAAAAACGGAATATATGTGATAGAACGCATTATTATGACTAATTCTAGCAAGTTTTAGCTAAATATCTTCAAAAATGGCCAAGTTTTACGCATTATTGCAAAAAATTCACAATTATTAATTTTTCAAATCAATTTTTCAGCACGTATTTGACATCGTACGCCCATATAAATAGCACCATCGTGTTCCTGAGCTCAAACTGCATCCAATAGACACCTTTTTTGTTGAAAAATTTCAACTTCAAAATTTGACCTTTTTTGACCTGAAAGTGACCTAACATAAGCTAAATTCGACACAAAATGACCTCGAATAACACAGACATCAAATTCGAAATCTCTGACCTAAATGGACCATGAAACATGTGTCACGTGACCGAAGCATTATATAATATTTTCGTGACCTGTGATGACCTGACCTTGACCTGAAAATCAAAGTACAAGTTTGGTACCCTCAGGGTAACTAGAGCATCTGTTCCCGAGTGTGTGATCCAAAAATGAGCCTGATCTGACTTGTAAGACGTCGGCCAGAGCCCAAAAAGTGATCAAGCCAAAATGCTAATAATTTTTACTTTGACCTGACCTGTGACGTCATCGGTGACCTCGAGGTCAATGAAATTAGGTTTCGCTCGACAGTTTTTCCGGGGCTATCAGACGCCATTTGAATTTTGACGATCGGCCCAGTAGTTTCGGAGTTAGGAGGGGGGGGGCTATGAATAGCCCCCCCCCAGTAGGGCGTGTTATACGCAGACCCCAGTGGGGCGCGGGTTAAGGCCGGAGACGGTGGCAACCGAGCAGCTGTTAAAGTCTCAGGTGCAGCCCGAAACGAGAACAAATTGAATTAAAAGATCAACCCAGGCTTGAGTGTGCTATACATGACCTCAGCTAGAGGATCGTAAGCTATTCGCATCAAAAGCAGTGCGAATCGTGAGCACTATGGAGTGGTCATGACCGTCCGGAGGGCAGAGAGACGTGCACGTCCAACCCGGCCCTTAGTTTTTATCGGTGCAGCCGAGGCTAAGAGTTCTGTGCCGGTCGGGTCCATTTCATCCCGTACAAATCCGAGCCGGTAATTGGGGATGACGTGACTGCGACGGCACTGTACCGACGGCTGTGTGATGAGCCGACGGTGGCCGGCACGGCACCACCCACCGCCAGGCCGCGGTTTCACCCGATCTGCCGGCGACTGAGGAGCGGCGGCCCAGTGGCGGCGGAAGGTAATTTTGGATGGGGGTGCAAAGTTTTCTCAAGGGGCCCCTCTGGAAGCTTTGGGCCCCCTTTTATTTTTTTGAGTGGTTATTATTAATTTATGAAAAATGCGAAGAATTTGGAAAACTATCCCCATACACACAAGTTCTGTAAAAGGCTAGAAATTGCAGTATAGGTACCTACCTATCTCAAATAATGAAAGCATAAAGAAGCAAATGCAGCTAGTTTTTTTATCGGCTAATCTTTTAGTCTAGCCACCACCTGCAGCGTCTCAAACCACTTTTCTGGATCCGCAGTGGACCATTGAGGGCCCTACGAGGCCGTTCCAAGAACTAAGAAGACCGTGTTTAGAAGCCCATTGGAAACCGACCACATAGGGACTCCTCCAGAGACCTACATGACTCCCCATGCAGACTGAATGAGCCCTCCGATCAGGGTCGGTCCCTTGAAAGTGGCTGAAAGGTTTCAGAAGGCAGTATGAGCTCGAAAGTCTTTTGAAGGCTCTCAGAAACCGGCATCGGACCCCAAAAAAAGCCTGTATGGAGGCCCTCAAAAGCCGAAATGGAGGCCACAGGAGCCGATGTTTCGCCTAAAGAGCCGGTATGGAGGACTGAATAGAGGAAAGGAGTCTCAGTGGGGCTGGGGACATTCAGGGGCAAGCGTTTGAGCCCCAAAAGTATGTGTGGGGTCTTAGAGGCAGGTAGACCCCTGGGGTATGCACGGGGTCCCAGGAGCTCGCGTGTGAGCCCAAATATTCGGCTGGCGGCTACTAGAACCAACATGGGGATTCTTAGAAGCCGCTTAGATCCACATTTCATGGGTCATGAGTCCCAAGAGTCGATGTAGGGGCCATAAAAGCCGGTGTAGGGCCCATGGCCCCATAAGTTCCGACATTGAGACTCTCAGAGGCCGGCGACGGGGCACCAAGAGCAGATTAAGTGCCTCAACAAGCCGACATGGGGCCTGAGAATCAGTGTGGAATTCCAGGAGCCTGCGTGAGCTCTCGGCGACCTTCGTATTTCGTAAGGTCCACAAAGGTCGTTGGGTCCTGTGAATCTGAATTCTGCGGGGCCCTCAGAGGCCAGCATGTCTCCTGGCACCTGCCTGCGTTGAGTTGAGAGTTGAGACTCTCTGAGGCTAGGGTTCTTCAGAGGCCAGCGTTGGCCCTTGAAGCCTTCGTTAGGCCCTAGAAGCCGTCAAGAGGGCCCTCAGAGGTCAGCATAGCCCCTGGAGCCTGCCTGCGTCGAGGCCCTCAGAGGCCGTCGTGGGGCCCTCAGACGCCAGCGTGGGCCTTTGGAGCTTGCGTTGGGTCTTAGAGACCATCGTGAGGGCCCAGAGAGGTCGTCGTCAGGGCCCTCAGCCCCTCAGGGACCGTCCTGGTGTCCTCAGAAGTTGTTGTGAGGGCCCTTAGAAGCCTTCGAGAGGATCATCAGAGGTCGTCATGAGGGTCCTTGGCCATAGTGAGGGTTTTCATGGGCCCTCAGATACCTTTGCAGGGCTCTCAGAGGCCTTGGTAAGACCGCTAGAGGTCATCGTTAGGGCCCTCAATAGACCGTTGCAGGGCCCTCAGATGCCAGCATAGCCCCTGCAGCCTGGTTGTGTTGGCCAACACAACCAGCGACGGCCTCTGAGGGCCCCGGGGCCCTCAAAGGCGGTCGCTGGGCCGTCTTAAGCCAAATGGGCCCTCAGACTTGAGTTGGGTCTAGGGCCGTCACGAGGGCCCTCAGAGACCGTCGTAGAGGCCCTCAGAGGCCAGCGGGGCCCCTGGAGTCCTGTGGGACCCTCAGCGGTCGTCATGAGAGTCCTTAGTGGTCGTTATAGAATATAGGGCCCCAGAGGACAGAGGTCGTCGTGAGGGCCCTCAGAGATCATCGTAAGGGCCCTCAGAGGCCGTCATAGGGGCCCTCAGAGGCCAGCGTGGCCCCTGGAGTCTCGTTGGGACTCTGGAGTCTCTGTGGGACCCTCAGCGGTCGTCATGATGGCCCTTAGTGACCGTTATAGGGCCCCAGGGGACAGAGGTCGTCGTGGGAACCCTCGGAGATCGTAATAAAAGGGCCTTCTGAGGCCGTCGTGGGGGCCCTCAGATGCCGCATGGAGCACCAAACGCGGCTCGGGACACTTCTAGCCGGTGCGGAGGCCCCAAATACTAGCATGGGTCCCTCCTGCTCATAATTGGACATTCCGGATGATTCCACATCAGTGTTCGTTTCCCGATCACTGGTTTTCAGTAAGAAATGTATTGGATGGTGCGACGGGCCCCTTGTACGGATTTTGGGGGTGCAAAAAGATATGTTTGCACCCCCATGTTTTTCGATGGGGGTGCAGCTGCACCCCCTGCACCCCCTATTCCGCCGCCACTGCGGCGGCCACCGAACGGGACGGGATCAAGCTGGGGTAGTGCACGACAGTGGCACGTGACTGATACGGAGAATTGACATATCGGGAGAATTTGCCAACTACCAGC